ACAGTTCCCTGTTGATGATGAAGGGATCAAGGGCCTCTGGCTTTCCGTCGAACAAGTCGTTTACTGAGGTATTGTATTTGATGTGCACTGGAAATATGTCCGCATAACGAGTAAAATGCGACCTGAGAACTCGAGAGAGTGTAAATCAATTTCAATGAAGATCTGTCGCCTAATAGCCTGAAGGCATAAGGAAGCCTCGCGTACAGTATCACGCATTTTGACTGAAGTTGCATTCAGCGCCGCGCAGACGCACACAAAATTCACGGGCTTCGTGCGCTCCTCGAGAAGCTCGCACAGCCCCTGCAGGGCACGGACTTGGCCGCTGCTGGCGTCGCTGTGCCTAAACAGCCGAGCGACGGACTCGCGCACCTCGGAGGCATTCTCTAGCAGCATTTATCAGAAAAATGAATAAATTAAGCGCCCCGGCCTCCGGCCCGTGATATACGTTGACAGATCTGTGATATAACTTGACAGATCCATGATGGACAGATAGGTATGTACAGCATTATACAGCAGTAGATATGCTATTTAACTGTCTCGCACTTGTCTTTGATCCCACACAGGGGGCAAACAAGTGCGCACCTGTCATAACGGCAACCTGCTCGCACTTGCTGCGTCCTCGCTGCATTTTTCGTCACACAGGCTCCCGCATCAGCCCGGTGTGGCAGCGGCGTGATCTCGGGTGTACACAATGAACAAGGGTTTCCCGGCCCGAACTCCGGGTCAATCTTGGTGATCAATTCATTTCATTTTTAGCCATGTCAATAATTTCATCTCCACGAGGCCGCAAGAACCGTGCGAGGACCGGCAGAAGACGTGTCGGATGTCGGATGCATGCGGGTATGTATACTGTACTGCCCATATGTTTGCCCCTGTGCCACATAGTGGGAGACTTGAGCTCTTTATATCTTCTATATTTACTTACATAATATCCAGTTGTACTGTGCCTTCTGCTCACATCCTCAAGTATTTAATAAAGGTGGGATGGCCGACAAGCGGCGAGGCACAAACCAACCTTCCGGAACCATAAACCAAATAGTTTAACCCTTTGTCCACATTGCCCAGGTGGATTATTTTTTTTGCGACAAGTCCATAAGGATTGAGTGAAATATAACAGTAGGTCATAATCAATGAGCATCAGAAAGTTTCCCCAGTCAATTCAGTATACCAGCTCAGGGTAACTCTTGCGCATCGCAAAGTCTGACTAGCCAACACTTTCAGTCGCCGTTCCTCAGCTCTGACCCCAAGATTGTGCGGCTCTGTGAATTGTGCGCGGTGCAGCTGAAGCCAGCGGATCGTATTACAGATAATGGGACGTACTCAACGACGGAACTGCTATACAGAGAATGGGATGGACAGACAGTCCCGAAGTCAACTGGATATAGCGTTATTCATTGACAGGGGGGACACGTGCGGCACGTGCTGCTTACATAAGCCTTTGGGCGGACAAAAGTGGTCTGTATAAGACACAAACACTTCAAAACAAGTTTTGGTTTGTGAATATGACTGGTGGGATGGCCGGCAGGTGGCGAGGCACAAACCAATTGTTTAAAATATAGGAGTTATAATGGTGATGGATAATGTATGTGTAAGTTGCTTGAGTTATATCAGTGTACCATCTCCAACCATCTCAGTTGTTGTCGACTTTCTGTTTCCTGGCAGGCTCGGAAACAGGTTGAGCAATGTGCTGAACATTGACGACAAAGCAACTTGTAAGCATAAAGTGATGCAGCCTGAGAGTGCAACGTGTTGATAAGGTGAAACGACAATCTTCTGTTTGTTGACACGTGACACAGTGCATTAGATAATCCGTTTTGTACACCGACAAAGTTGACCACGGTATAAGACACAAAACAACTCAAAACAAGTTTCGGTTTGTGAATATAGTCTTTGATCCCACATAGCGGGAGACTGATTCGTACTGTGCCTTCTGCACATTTTCAGATCTTGACAGCATTACTTTCCCCTTTCTGCATTAGCCACAGGATCGCGACCTAGAGCTACTAAATTACTAGCTGCTAACGTCCTGTTGGCTTGGTTACAGAAAATTTACTTTACAAGACATGCAGTAATGTACACAGGCTTCACGTCATCGTTTCTGAGTTATGAAAAGTCTTTTGCTGCATCCGATGATCAAAAGTGAGTCCCTGCATGCGGCATGCATCAACTATTATTGGACTGACGGCACAGGGTAGTACGGCTATGTGTATATACGTGAGTTTGAGCTGTCTAGTGCTTTCTGCGCTTTCCAAACCTAATACAATCATTTTTTTGTGATTATCGAGATTCTTGAAGCTGCTTTGATGTCATCAAAAGGTCACGTGTTTTCGAAATACTACAGTACCACGTGCGTAAACCTTTAAAATGCTGTTTAAGGTGATTCTGAGACTCTATCGCCATGGATGTAAAAAGTTTTTTTTGACCCTCGGGGGACCCCCCCTCCCCCCCTACCCTATATGTGAAATTTTTGATTTGACACCCCCTTGCCAGCGCGGGTCGTCAAACGCCGCCATCTTGCCATCCGGGTCATCGCCGTCGCAGGGGCCGGGCACACCCAGCTGATCCATCTCGTGCAAGATAACATGAGGGGGGTACTTCTCCCGGATGTCGCCGCCAAGGAGCATGAAGTTCATGGAATATCGGAGGTGCCACGAGGCGGAAGAACGTGACGTCGCTGGAGTCGTGTTCAGGATGACGGGGTAGATGCGTTGGCAGGAGGTTCTTTGCTTCACCCATGTCGCAGAGAATAACAATGCGGTAGTTGTCGTCGGAGTCGACAGTGAAATTGTGGCTGTAGAAATGGAGCTTCAGGTCCTTGCGCAGCGTGATGGCGTTGGCAACTTGGCAGCAACGAGGAATGGCGTGGAGTCCATACCGAGGGGATGTCGACCGTCATCGCTAAGTTTTGGCGCAATCTCCGGAGGGTCCAACGAGTTCGCGACCTGGAGGAGTGGTCTCTGGCGGGGGGATATAAACTGAAGGATGAACTCACTGTCCAGCCCCAGGGCGGGGGCACAATCCACGTTATCATAATGTCGGCAGTATCGCCTGTGACTCTGCAGCGCTGTGCGTCCCGTGCAAGAACGCGACGCTCCAAGTCGGGAGGGAATGTATAGTGTGGCAACGGTGGGAGTGAAAATGTACGAGATGGTTTAGAATGAGCGACTTACCAACGCCCGCAGTTTGTCGTCGTCCATGAATTTTACGTTGTTGTGATCTAGGCTCCGATTCCTCATAGCCATATTCACCCCCGTGAGCTCCGGAAATTTGGACGGGCCCATATTGACTACAGAGGGATGTTCAGCGGGTGGACGGCGAGAAAATGGAGCGGCCCTTACGATCTCGATACCAGCCATAGTTTCCAGGAGGCAAAGGTTCGTCTGAGTCTGGAGGGATAACTGGTCCGCTTGGCGTCATCGAGTAAGACATAATGCCTTTGGGGTTCACTGTAACTGGAGACAGAAAGAATTCGTGATGTTCCCCGACCATGAGATCTGCCCAGCGTCGAAGTGTTGCGCTTGTGACCGGGGTAATTTGCTGGTTCAGCCCTGGAAACTATTGGATGAAGGCGCGAGAAGATCTCACCAACCAAGTACAAGGCGGATGGGAAACCCGCCCATGTGCGCAAAAAAGAAAGTATCGCGCTGTAGCTTCGCAGATTTGTCTGAAAGAATGTGCCCATACGGCGCTTCGGAAGACATGCGTGAGTAGGCCCCGTGAAGCTCCCGCCAAGGATTGTCCGGAAATTTGGCTTTTTGAGACCGGAATTTGATGATTTCCTTGTCCCAAAGTTGGCTTTTTGAGGGCAGAAATCCAAAATCCCTGTCCGCAAGTTGGCTTTTTCAGGGCAGTGGAGGTTGAAAATTTGGGGCAACGGATCACCCCCTGAAGACTGGACCTCATCCAAATATCACTATGGCTGCTTGGTGTAGTGGTATTGTGCCTTGTTTTCTTCCTGGTGCCTGAGTTCAATTCCTTGAGTTCTCTTTTCAATGTGTACCTTTTTCCGTACCCTTTTTGGACATGCACGTGACCACCTTGTCCGATATTGGCTTTTTGAGGGCCAAGTGGACGAAAAAATTGGCTTTTTGAGGCCAAAATTTGGGATTTGGGGCGGACAATCCTTGGCGGGAGCTTCACGGGGAGTATGATCGTGAGTCACTGCTGGGAGATCACGTGCCTGACAGCACGTCTTGTCCTGTTGATTGTTGGTGGATTGTCCTCCCTATTCACGCCAGAAGCGACACAAGATGAACTAGAAATAATGGTGCGCGCATCACGTTATGGTGACATGTCTGTATAAAAGATTGCCCTTGCATGGCCACTTTTTAATGTCTAGATCCATTGTTTCTTAGTGATTGTTTCCCATGAAACGACTGTGGGTGGATTCTAGCGGAATTCGGATGATGAAACCTTCATTAGCATGAGTACTTGTTTGATGGGTTCGATCTGTCTCAATCGGCACAATTGCAGTGGTTACATTATTGTTCAGTGTCTCCTTTATCCTTTGTTCTAGCGAAATTCGGATGATGAAACCTTCATTCGCATGAGTACTTGTTCGATGGATTCGATCTGTTTTCGGCACAAATGTAGTCGTTGCTTTATTCTTTCAGGGTCTGGTTTATCCTCCGTCCATATGGAAGGTCCTCCTCAGCTTGTCGTTGCCTTATATCTTCAATGCGACTTGCAACTAGTCATGCAAAATCCTCATCCTGCAGAAGGGCCCTCTGGACACCGATTCACGAAAAAGAGTGCATTTCCGCGATGCGTTTGCCTGGGTTCGATCTGTTATGCAACGTAGTATGTGGTGGCGGTTTGAACCCGAAGCTGTGCGATAAGCACAGCCATCGGGTGCGGTAGCGGCGATTTGGGGGGCCAAATCGATAACCAACGTGAAGCTTGGAATCAAGATCTCCAGCCCTGCCAGTGGACGATATAACTTACTACAAACGAGATAATCTCAGCGGCATATATTAGCACTTTAGACCCCCTATATTGTCGGGCTAATGGTGTAGTTGGTTATCACGCTCGCTTAGCATAGCCACATGGCACCCCAATTATGCGAGAGGTGTCCGGTTCAATTCCGGATTAGTCCATTTTTTCTTCTCTTTTGTTTTTTGGATGCGTAACCGTTTGTGGATATACGTGCTTGGGCTTTGCTGTAGCGCGACGTACAGGCATTTGCCACACCTTTTTAACCTTCTTCATTTTCGACACCAGAAGAGACAAGGTTATAATTATGTAAATGCTACTCTGTTCGGAATTTCTGCTGAAAACCTATCGCGTACGAAGCGAGCCGGGAAAAAATCGAAAAAGTAGGGATATCCTGAAAAACGTTCGACACCATTATATAATAAACTGATTGGATTTAATGTGCTTCACCAGAGCTATGTATTTCTGACCCGTTCCCTGCTTCTGCCCCAGTAATGTGCACGGACGAGCTTCACAACATATTAGGGGCTCTCTGACTTTTGAGATAGCATGCAATATTTTAGCAAGTTTGAACTCGCGGCCAACTTATGAAATGGCAGTGGCAATCTCCCCTGACTACTGGAAGACATTGTCGATTCCTGTATCGGTTAGTAGATTTCAACCCTTTCCGATGCTCTCTTCCTCACTGGCCTGCCTCGCGACTCTCCCACTGGCTCCAAAAGTTCACACATCTGCAATGCACATATTACTCGCTCGATTCGAGCACATGGCACCATGCAGAAACGCTCTATATCAAATCGAATATTGCTTCCCTGTGAGGAGAGAGAGGCCCACCAAATCTGATATAAAAGCTGGAAGATCTCCAGCGCCCGACTATGTATATCTCGAGTACTACAAGGTGGGGTACGTGGGTATGTCTAAAACGCGGCCCGATACTTACGTAACGTAGCAGCTATCACCCAGACCTCGGAGTCCGGCCCAGGTATCCCCTTACATTCCTATGTGTTCGTTTTTTCCCTCCGGGCACATATTGCTTGGCGGACCCCTGGACTGGTATATACCATAGGTCATATCCACGTCTGTGCGCGCATAAGCCCCGTCAGCACGTCGCTTGGAGCAGCAGAACAAGTTGGGCGGGTTAGTATGGTCCGATGTATAATGTCAGCGTTACATATTAGCTCTTCGTACATTGTGCCTTTATAGGGCTAATGGTGTAGTTGGTTATCACGCTCGCTTCGCATATTGCTGAGAGAGGTCATGTGCCCATATGCGAGAGGTGTCCGGTTCAATTCCGGATTAGTCCATTTTTTTTTTTCTTTACATAAATGTTTATTTGGACATAGCACATGCTTGTCCCTGCTCCAGCGCTAGCCCGGTCAGGTGTTCGATGAACGTGCAATCAAATACAATCGTTAACCTTTTAGAGACTAGGAAAAACCTAATATCGGACGATTGAGGCCCGATCATGAGGGCAAGATAGCAGGCAGAGAACTTTAACGAGGAATCGGAATGAAATTTGGGACGATACTGGTACTCTGCCCTGAAACCTGTCGCGTACGAAGTGGACCGGGAAAAAATACTATGAAGAACGTTCGACGCCATTAATAGACTGATTGGATTTAATGCGCTAAACCAGCTATTTCCGTCCCGTTTCCTGCTTCTACGCCGCAGTAATGACCAGGTCATGCGCTTCGCGCAGCTTCGACTTCTATCTCATTGCGCGCTCAAAGAGGCTGCTGCGGCAGTGCTGCCTCAAGTTGTCCCAGACAAGTTCCCACTATGTCTGTCGTGAAGGAGCACTGCACGGCGTTCGGGATCCACCCTATCCCCGCTACTATCGCGAAGGAAGACTTTGAGGCCAAGTGCGAGGCGCTCGTGGAGTCCTTCCTCGAGCTGCCTGTGGCACAGCGCAACTTCCTGAGGTTCGATATCGTCTGTGTACACCTTTGTCGCGCATGCATGCAGCACTGACTTGGGGGTCGGGCAGCTGACGCAGAACGACCAGATCGCCGACTTGGTGACATCGCTCGGCCTGCCGGAACCGCAACCCGTCGTCTGTCTTAGATGCGAATACGAAGTGGGTCCCTGATTTGCCCAACATTACCTCTTTTTTGACGTTCAACTCAGACGGATGCCAATTGGGCCGAGGTACGCCAAGCGCCAAATTCTTCAGCCTGAGCCACTCCTCAATATTGTGATATCGCAGTGCCTCAGAGACCCAGATTTCGTGAAGGCGATGGAGGCAGGCCGGTCGTGGGGCTTCCACGAGAGCGCGTGCATATTCTCCGCGGACGTCGTCACGAAGCTGGAGTCTGACGCCACGCGCGACCGCAACGTCGTGGTCGCCATCCTCAGGGTCCCTGCGCACATGTCCCCCGCCGAGTTCCGCGGGAAGATCGACGCGCTCCTCGACGGGATCCATGAGTTGCGGAAGCCGTCGGCGATCAGGTCGACCATGGTGCGTCGCGTGCTGGACGTGCATAGAGAGCCGTGGATGGGAATCTGATACAGCTCATTTCAGTATGTGCAGAATCTGAATGCTGAGGAGCACCTCCAGGCTGCGGGATTCCCGCCCGCTCAGCCAGCCCTTGTTTTGGTAGGGGAATGCAAGGTGAGGCTCCGCCCGAAGTGCACTCCTGTCGTGCTCACGGTTGGACATGATCATGATCAGTCATGGCACGAACTATTCCAGGTGCGGACCACTGTCCCGCGCGCCGGCGTTCGAATTCTCAGTATTTGCTCCTCAGACTTACGACGACGCGGAGGTCATGAATCGCCTCGGGGCAGCCATGAAGGAGTTTGCATTCGACGTCGAGCCCATATGCATCTCGGCGGATGTCGTTGTGAAATTCAGGAGGCCGAGGGCCTGAGCCTGGCCTGGAAAGACAATGTACTCGACAGCATCGATACGAGTTTAAGGATTTTCCGTTACGCACGACACATAGATCCAGATGACGTCATGTATGTCTCGGCCTCATCGCCACCAATGGAACTTTCTAAGAGTTTAGACGACTGTGCATGGCCTCCTAGGCTTCACATCGCGCTCCAAGACCGGCTTCGACACAAACACAGTTCCCGGAAATCCCCGGAAGAAGATTTGATGTGTTGATCCGGTTCTCGGCGCAGTGGTATGGGCCCGCGCTCCTGTGCTTGATTTTTAGGAGCGTTGTAGCTATAGTAATCGCGTTCTCTAAATGGCGGCGAGACAGGGAAAACTTGGACAGATCAATTCAATGTGCCAAAATGATCTCGGCTTTTTACCGTACCCCTGGACGACGTCCGGAGATGTGGTTGGACATGTGGCATCTGTCATGATTTTGGAAACGATGTCTGTCACGTCAGTTGACCCCCATCCCCTCCATGATCTGTCCATCCCTTGCTTGAAACATCATGGCATACGAGAGCCTTCTGACCCACCTCGCCGCGGACGGCTCACATACGCGCAACCGGCGAAGATTCAAGGTCCTCTGGATCATCGGAGGAATCGCGCTTGCGCTCTTTGCGTTCGTCGGAATCGTGCGGAGGTCAACGACACATGCGACATTCGCGCCCTATCCGGTTGCTGAGGTCCCAGCAGTGCCAGCTCAGCCAGCGACACTGCCGGCGCCCCTCCCAGCGGCGCCGCGCATCTACTTGCAAGCGGGGGATCTTGGCGGAGAGGGGATCGGCGTTCGTCGTGCGCAAGCTTTTTAATGATGACTGCACTGACACGATTTCCTGCAGTCCACACTCCACCACTTCAAGCAGAGCATAGTTCTCTCGAACGCCCTCCATTCCACGCTGCTCCTTTCATCCAACGACGTCAAATACAACCGCCCATATTCCACTTCAGAGCTATTGAACGGACACAGGGGCTCCAACGCGTTCTCCCTCGATGCGTACAAGACGTGTCGGATTCAAGAACATGTCCCGGACCGCGAGCGTCTCGTGCGCGGGTTTTGCGAGGGGGAGGAGTGGGCGATAGAGAGGATGGATCAAGTCAGAAATGACATGGCGGACTGCACGAGCTTTGTGGACACCGAGGCAGGAGAGGTGCGCTCCCATCCATATGTTATGTCTCCCTAAGCTGACGTCCCGCAGCTCACGCAGGACCTCAACGGCTGCATCATGGGCTGGGTCCGCGAGCGGCTCGCACCCGCGCCGCTGCACACGCTGGTGCCGCTCACGGCGCCGCCCACGCGGCCCATCACCGTCGGCGTGCACATCCGCTGGGGCGACACCGCCGCCGCGCCCGACGTCGACCTCAGCACGCACGAGTTCTACGGCTCGTGGTCGCTCCCGCCCCTCATGCGCGTGCTCGCGGACCTGCGCGCGTTCGCGGCGCCGCACGGCATCGCGCTCACGATCGCGATGGAGAACGCGGACCCCGCGGTGCTGGGGTACCTCAACGAGACGGGCTACACGCTGCTCGACTCGGGGCCCGCCAAGGCGCTCGCGGACCTGCGCGCGCTGTGCCAGAACGACGTGCTCCTCCTCGGCGAGTCGTCGTACGGCGTGCTCGCACACCTGATCGCGACGCCCGGGCTGACGATCGTGCAGGGCGGAGGCTTGTAAGCTCTTCTCTGCGCTGTTTATTGGCTGCGCTGATGTGTTGCCCTGCAGTCATAAATTCCTCAACACGAGCGGCTTCGGCCGGCATGTTGTCTATTTGGATGATTACACACCGAAGAGCCTGGAGCTCGTTGCGGAGCCATTAGATGTCTACGTCCCCTGACTTTGTTGCTTGCATATAGGTTTCAGCCAATGTCATGTTGGATATCCACACCATATGGGTTGGTGGACTCCGCCAGCACTTGCGAGATGTGTAGATAGTGTACGAACCGTTGTCCCAGTAGGTCTCAGCCGCCGTCCATGCCGGGCCGACCGGACAACAGCGGCTGTAAACTTCAAGACAGGCCGAACGCAAGGTGAGTCGAGGCTTGCCCTTGTGTTATTTACTGTAACCTTAACACCAAGCTGCGTGAACGGAAAACGCAAGAATAGGCCCTTTTTCAAGTTGTCGGGACGGTACGCTGCTTCCGCTGCTTAACAGCGATAGCGCTTAGTAAATGTGCCAGTCATGATTGGAATAGCGAACATTCAGATTTAAATGCAGACATTGCCTCCGATAACATATGAGTGCCCGGCAGTCACTGTCAGTGTGCAGTCAAACTTGCGGCCGGCCGTGACGTCTGTAAGGGAGAAAATTGAACTTCTGGCGAAGTTGGCGAGGATGTAAAAGCCGTCATGTTGCATTTACTTATTTCACACGCAGATGGTTCGAAAATTCCGAATCCGGCCCAACTTTGATACATCATGTGGGGCGCATTGATTGCGTTTTTCGACATAGCACTGCGGCGTAGTACTGCGGCCCGCTGCGCAAGACAGTCGACTTCTTTTGTACCTGTACGACTCGCATTTCAAATAAACTCATGTTCATATTTTGTATTTGGATCCGTTGCGATGGCCTCAAAGCTCACTACCTACTTGGAATTCACTTGCCGATTTTGGTCCAGGGCAACTTAATGCCAAATGGGACCACTGCAGTAAGTGACTTCCCTCTGATAAAACCCGATCATACCGATGGTGTGCCGTCAATGTGCCGTACTCCATTATTCAAGGTTCTTTCTAGGATCATGCTCATGGTAAGTCGCATTTTCCCTCAATAGCCTCTCAAAAATGCTTATTCCTCAAGCTCCAATTATAGGGTTAACATGTGCACGCTCTTGTGGGTTGGAGTTCTGTGTCTGGGGTCTGCACCCAGGATCTAATAGTGTTCCTTTGCCCATCTATTTGGCAGGTCTTCATGTTTTATGTTCAGACATTGCTTTGACCAGCATGTCTTTAATTTTTGTTCAGAGACAGGTATATACACTACATCACGGGGAACCACAGTAGCACAAAAAATCCAATGCAGGTCATCCATCCATTCACGAGCCAAGCTTCGGGGGTACGCCTGATAAATACTACGGGTGCAATCGCTCAATTGTAATTTGAAACCACTGAAGACAGTGCGTCTTTAAGGATTCAACCAAATTAGGAAGAATTTTGTTCGATTGCTTCGGGGAGGATGCCTGACAGATATCTTGAGTGAAAGCACTTAAAATTCTCATTGAAATGCCATACAAAGAGGGTGTGTCTTGATAATTTCGGCCAACTTGGGGGCAACTTTTCTGGTCGACCATTTATCGGTTGGATCCAGCCTCTGCTCATAGTCCTGTGGAAGCAAGCCTGCAATTTCTTGGTTCACATCGTTCTGTGAAGCGGACCCGAAGTAGGCATCTAATGCTGTTGAGAATGCAGCGCCAAAGGATTCCTTTTGAGC